TAATATGCGGTCTTGGGAGCGGTTTGGCTGTACCTCTTCCAAAATTACCGCACTCCCTTTTCTCTCTCTCTCTCTCTCTCTCTCTCTCTCTCTCTCCTCATTCATGTGTCTTTCTCTCACCTCTCTCTTTTTCTACTATAGTTCCCACACCCTAGGTGTGGTAAAGAACCACACTTTGTGTGGTATGAATATGTGGCTCCTACGTATCAAAGGATGAAGTGCGGTTCTTGTGGCACCACTCCCTCTAGCCTTATATGTTTGAAAAAACAAAATCAAATACATCATCATGGAAACACATGAAGCGATAGTCGGGGGCCATGTAGGCCCATAAAATAGATAAAATAGCTAGGTTTAGTTATTACTGACCAACCATGTATCGAGATACTAAGCAAACAATATCAAAATGTGAGACATGACAACATCACACACTTATTCAATGATTGTCGGCAACCACACTAGTAAGAATATCCATCCTTTGGCCTTTCATATAACGAAGCATAGACATAATTGGTCCTTTTCAAGAAGCACCTGGTAAAGTCAAGTTTGTGGTAGTGGTAGTTGATTATTTTACTAAACGTGTTGAAGTAAAACCCCTAACAATAACAATAATCACAGGAAGAATATGGTTACATTATTTTGGAAACAAATAGTATGTTGATTCGGGTTACTAACTACAATCATCTTATAAAATGGAAAATAATTCACCAGCAACCCATTCGAGGAATAATATGAAGGGCTGAAAATAAGGGTGAACATTTGGACCGACCACTTTGGAAAAAAATGGTGAATCTTGGACCAGACCTGTTGAGCCTTATCGGGTCGAGGTCTAGGTCCAGTTCTTATGGATATTGGGACAAGCATTCGGATCGGTCTGGACCGACTCTTGGACCGGACAAATTTGACAGATATTGGTGGACCTTAGACCAAACATGTTGAGGGTTATCAAGCAAACAAGCACACTGAAGTGGCCCACCCTTTGCAAACGAGCACACTGGAGTGACAAATAAAACCATTATCCATGGACTAAAAACAAGGTTAGAAAAAATAAATGGGCGATTGGTAGGAATTACTCAATGTTTTATAGGTATATTGGAGAATAAGAATCACAACAACAAAAGACACAACATTTAATTTCGTCTATGGATCGGAGGCACAAATAGCACCAGAAGTATTCATGCCCAATGCATGGACTTAGGTTCAGAATTTGGTTGCAAATGATGAATAAATCTAAACAAACCTCAAGTCATTTGATGAAAGGATGGCAATTTTATCCATTAGGAAAACACATTATCGAGTATCACCCACATACTTTTGGACATCATCATCGGGTATCACCAACACATCTCCGGGGTGTGACGATGCAGAAGATAGTAGACGCATAAGCCCACGACGTTGCACCACATGCTAACTAATCTAACCAGAACTGCCCCCGGGTGATGGCCCACCCATTGCCTGAGCAGCCTTTCATTTATCTGCAGCTCGAAGAACACTGGCAACGATCTCGTCCTTACTATCCACCACACCATCGGTGGACGGCTCGCTTGACGGGCGAGGTATCATGATAGGGGTCAAGGCAACATTAGAAATTGGTTGGCTCCCTGACGTAGTAGAGCTCCCCACTGGCTGTGGGGGCGCCACATCAAAGACACTCAAACGATGGGGTGGAGGCAGAGTCTCATACAAAGGTACCATTCGATGTGACAACCCGATATTTTGAGACAATGAAATGTAACACCAGTCAAAAATTTAACTTTCCTAAAATCTTATTTTGGTTAAATAAAGTGGTAGGAATCGTATCAAGGTTTTCATGCATATAAAGAACACTAAAATTCGAGTTATAATGAAGAAGTTATGACCAATCTAAGATTCACAACAAAAACCGACAACACTGATAGACGTAAAACGAGAATTTTCAATACAATAATTTTTAGCCTTAGGTATCTAAATGAAAGTTTTAGATATCCCAAAACTGTAAGCATACATAAAAAGAATGCACAAATCTGACTTCATATGAGGAAGTTATGATTTTTCGAAGTTTCAGACATAGCAGTAGACAGCTAAAAACTCGAAATCGAGATCGAGCGGCTTTTTGCCAACATGACCTAAACGAGAATCGAAGATCTCATCAATGGTATTACAACAGTAAAAAGTCTAGCGAAAACGGACATCAGATGAAGGAGTTATGGATTTTTAACGGACTTTTCCTGTCCCGGCCTATTAAAAATATAATATTAAAAATAAAATCAAATTTAGCCGACGGAGTCAAAACGAAAGTTATAGAATGTAGTCTCAACTACGCGTGGATATAAAGAACGTCAAAAACGAAGTTCGTATGAGGAAGATATGAATTTTTGAAGTTTATTAAATAATTAAAATATTAAATTTAATTATAAATACCCGATATTATCTGTAGTAGGAGTCACTGGTCTGATCTGGATTACGCCCAACGTAATGTCTTGGTACGCTCAACGTAATCCGAGGATTCAGACCCTATAAAATGGGTGCGAGTGTTCCGGGGTTATTTGCTCATTTCTTCTCTTTCTTGTCCCGAAGCTTTGCGTTTAAACGCTCGGAGCCATCCCGAAGTCCCGGTTTTCATATCCAGTTTGGAAGGAAGTTTTATGCTCCCAAGATTCTCGAGAATCCCGAGAAATCCGCTTTATCGAGTAGAAGTTCTGCTCGGTTTTCGTCTCGCTTTCTTCAATCTATCAAGTGAGTTCATACCCCTACAACTATATTTTCAAATACTTTATAAATGCTTTTATACACTTTTAGGGGGGGGGGGGGGGGGGGGGAATACAAGTAAACATATGATTATCCCCGTGCAAAAAACATCAATCTTTTGCTATACTTGCTGTTAATTAATCAATCACATGGGATTTATAACTAGTATACAAATGGATTTACTACACGTTTACCTGTTTTACCAAACATATTACTTCAAATGACTTTCTCAAACATTTATACATGTTAAAACTCTTTATCAAACTGTCTTACATACTGTCTGTTTCCTTTCAAACACTGTTAGAATCGTGTTTCAAACAAAGGTCTTCTTATACTTAAAACTCTTCTTATCAAACAAACTGCTTTCAAATCGTTTTATAAACTGACATCAAGTCATCATTTCTTATTTATTAAACTTTTCAAAGGTTTTACAAAACTTTTTTATATATATTTTTATATTGTCAAATGCATGCCTATATATCTATAGTTATATAAGTAATGTTTAAAGGACTTAGGACGGCTAGCTCGCTTTATTTCCTTTTCCTTGTTGGGATGTGGCCTTAGGGCATCGATTATTCGTCCAAATGTCATCTAAATATTAGTTATATATCATGTATACATATATAGACATAAAAGTTTCCATCAGTTGGTTCAGTACCTTTGAGTAGCAAAGGCATACTTCGGTTATACACGTACAATACTAGTAACTATAATAGGTATAGTTAGGAGATACTACTTACCATTCCAAGTACAAAGAATCACACAAGAGTCAGTTTATTCATGAGTCTATACTAATACATTACATACTATACAAAGAGATACGATTACATACAATTACAAGGCATACAAATTTCAAGACATACAATTACAAGAGATACGGTTACATAAGATAGTTTACTAGATATTCATGAAATTTTACATACTACAAGTACTATATCAAGGAAATACTTTCATATACAAAAACAAAATGGACTTTAATACGTAAATCTATTTAATACTAAGAATTGTGAGATATTTCAGCTTCACGTACTTTTGAGTATGCAGTTAAAGTCCTGTATTATATACCATAATCTCTTGTAGGGAGAGCGTGATACTTGTGTATAGATCTATACGGGATTGACAATCCCGTACCTAAACTGTTAGCTACAGTTAGACCGGCAGGTCTGGGGTGACAAATGTCATAACATTTCAACGCCTGAAGAACGTTGTTACAGGCAGTCTGGGTCATTAGTATGGTTATAAAACTCACATGGAGTGTTAAGAACACATTAATTTACGGGGTTATCAATTGCGTTAACGATTTATTACATATACAAATCTACTATTTTAGGCATGAAAAATACTATTGCATTTCAGTTTTGGGACTTTTAGACTACCACCCACTTATGGACAAATATTGGATTTCTAAAAGCAAACATTCAAAACAGTCGGGTCTTGGTAGAAGGCTACTTTTTATACTAGTAGGAAATATGAGATTTCCTAGGGTTTTCAAACGTTTACGATTACTTACAAACATGTTCATTGATACAAACTTTCCTTCAAACATTTACAGGTCTTTCTTTACAGTTTTTACAAATCAAAGTCACATAAATACTTATGAATTCACCAGCTTTATTGCTGATACTCGCTTTCAAAATAACTTGTATTCTCAGGTCACAAATAAGACAGGTACGATGACCAGGTTTTGTGAAGACGGAGCAGTCAAGACTTGTCTTTTATTTTGAATATTCATTATGTAGATTTATACTATGAAAGAACTCACATGTACTTAAAATTATACTATTAATGCAATGGATGATGTTGTTGCTTGTTTATTATTTTGCATTGTTGTGATACATTACATGACGTCCTACGCCCCAGAACGTTTCCGCCGTTCTCGGTTTTGGGGTGTGACATTCGATGCTCTAACTTCCCCTGATACCGTTTTCGCATAACAGAGTCCATGGAAATAGAGCATTCGGTACCTATAGAACAAAGAACAAATAAAAGGAAAAATAATAATAGTAAAACAAGAGAGCTGAAAGAACAAGTATAAGGCATCCCCTACCCTAGAGAGAATAATAGGGGCAGGGGGAGGGGGGAAAAGAAGAGAAGAAGCAAAAACAACTCACCGTTAGAGACAATATAGAAGACGAGTATCTTCCTCTGGGCACGCCAACTAGGACTCATACCAACCCCAACAAGTAACATCTCTGACATTGTATCAATGTCCACCTGAAGAGAGCGCAAGAAATTAGTAGTCGCTTGGTTATGTGGGAATAGTTTGGGAGTAACATCTAACAAAGCATTTGCCCAATGGCATTCCCGACCAAGCAGTTCCTGGTTGAACTATAACCACTTGTCCTGCCAATTCTTTGGTGGTTTGCTGTCAAGGACGAGATAATGACCACGCGACGAGCAGAAAAAGTGTACTTGTTGTTAGTAGCAACAAACCGAAAAAAGAAATTGAAGACGAAGTAGTCAAGAACGATGCCATTAGCCCGACATATCATTTCAAAAGCTACTATCTTGTGGACAGCACTAGGGGTCAACATTTGAACACTGCATCCATTATACCAGAGTATTTCCTCTTGGAAATCGGTTAGTGGAAGACGGAGGCTGGCATCAAAGGTTTTTTGATAAACACCCACCTCCCAGGTGGCGGCGAAGTGATCACAACTCCAGAAGTTGGGAACTCCACTCCGTCAGCCAGAGTAAGGCCATAAGCCTCCTGAAGAGCGGCGAATTTGGGGGAACTGGGGATCAAACTCATGGAAGGAGATACATAGAAAGAAGAAAAGGAGAAGGAAATGAGAGAAAAAGATTAAAACTAGGGAAAATTTTCTAACAAACTATAAGGGGAAAAAGTGCGGGATTTACGAAACCCCTTGACACGACTAACGTAACCACAGCGCATGTCAAGTGGTCACATCACTGAATATGAAGCGACAACCAAATGAGGGATGACATGTATACCGATAGTTAAGTCCAGAACATCATAGCTAGCCAACTTACACTATGACTACTGTATTGGGGGACTTGATGACACGACGCTTAGAACGGGCCAAAAGTAAGAGAACTCCCAGCAAGGAATTCCTTGCGTGGCCTGACCGAGCCCGACTCAGCCACCTCGGCCGAGTCGGGGACTCTAGCAGGGCGACCGCGCAAGAGCCACACCTTTGCCAAACATCGTGCTTCGCTACAGTCCATAGATAATAGCTTCAGGCGACAAGGAGCACATCCAGAGCATTATCGTCCGGACCAATTGTTAGCTCTGACACTACGAGGAACACGACCCACCAATAAGGACTGCAGATCTTGTCGGGATCGTAGTCCTTGTCTGCAGATCGAGTAGGATCCTCAGTATAAAAGGACGTTCACCCTGCCTTGATGGGTAAGCTATTCTTCCTGGATCCTTTACCCTCACACTCAGATGCTTTACTGATTTGACTGTCGAAGTGTTTTTCGTGGACCTCCTCCCTGAGAGTGATTGAAGGCTTTCCTTTCTTTGTGACCATTCAAGTTTCCTTTTGGTGATAGTCACTAACAGATTAGGTGGTTGGAGACCAGGTTGCATCATTTATACCCGAATCCCTCAAACCAAGGTTCTGATACCAACTTGTAACAACCTAAATTTTCAATAAAATTTTTCATTTTTAAATAAATAATTCATTTCCATAAATTATAAAATTCCAGTCGCAATTGTTTTCAAAATACATAACATCAGATAAATTATTCATAAAATCAAAGTGTCCCCAAACAAAATGCCAGAGAGCGCATGTTGCGCCATCATGCTGGGCTCTTGTCCTTAGATCCTGAAGTACCTAAAACAACCAACACTGCAAGGTAACGCTTAGTGAGTTCCCCATAACATACCCGTACAGTCCACATAATCAAAAAAAACATATCAACCATATAAGCTACATAAGCCATACATACAAACATATAAGGATGCACTGGAAAACCTCCAGGTTCTTACTCCGGGTGCCATGGGAACCCCCACATGGTCTTATCCCAATGCATCGGGAACCCCACAGGGTCTTAACTAAGGATGCCATGGAAACCCTCCAAGGTCTTACACCGTAGTGCATCGAGAACCCCCTAAGGTCTTTACCTAAGATGTCTTGGAAACCCTCCAAGGTCTTACACCGTAGTGCATCGAGAACCCCCTGAGGTCTTTACCTAAGATGTCATGGAAACCCTCCAAGGTCTTACACCTAAGTACCACAGGAACCTCCCCGAGGTCCTCCATGCAATTATCACAAATACAATTAGCATAGCATATACCACATAATCAACTAGCATATCACATAGAAAATAATGGGCTGGCCTTGGTGGATTCAACCCATTGGTATGGTGAGGAGACTCACCTTAGTCTGTTGAACCTGAAAAATGCTCGCCTAACAGTTAGAAACCACCCGTGATGAACAATAATGCCATTAACCAAAAAATTAGGATTGAACACAATTTGATTAAAGAGCCCAATTACCTAAGCCCATGTCCATCCATAATGGCCCAAAAGTCTTTCCTTTATTAATGGGCTCAAAGTCCATGTCTAAAGCTATTAATGAGCTACATGTCCCAATAAGGCCCAACCAAAACAACCATGACCCAAAACAGATAAATCGAACCACCAACCCAAAACATGACCAGGCCCAAAACTGATTAAGACCCAAAGGGCTTACAAGCCCACATGAAGCCCAAAACCTATATGAGGTGCATACCACTCCAGTACGCTCAACATACTGGCTCCTTTAGCCGTACGCGCTACGTACATGCTACTACTCGCGACGTACTAGTCTGGCATGCATAAATGACCATTAAGTTCTTAATGCTTGGGATATAAATGTCAAGCTTTAGATCTGAGTCCATTAAGATGTTCCAAGGCATAAAGTTGGCAACTTTATGCCCTTGCGTGCTCCATATGTTCCTAAAAACCCCTTATAACCCATTAAGACCTTTCCATGGGTCTTAACTCATGCATGGGGTCAAAACAGTCATCAAGACTACATTTTTATGGTATGAATGATCTAAGGGACCTCAGATCTATTCTTCCTAAGCTTTGGAGTTGCTCAAACTCCCAATACATGATCCATGAACACAAATGAGTCAATATAGCAAACCCTATCCCAATATAATGAGTAAGATAGCAAGATTAAGGCTTTATACCTCCAGAAGCTCCTCAAGGTGAACTAGATGCAGTATCTTGTAGCCCAATGCCACCCCAAGATTGCTTATCAAACTCTACTTCTTGAGTAAGCTCCAAAATGGCCACCAACACTCTTCTATGCTCCAAAATCACTCACAAAGGGAAACTGGGGTAAAGGGACGAAATGAGACTCTAGAGGCTGATTAGGGTTTGTTCTAAGAGGCTTAAGGATGTTTAAATAAGTGTCAAGTCCGAGAATTAGGGTTTTGCTCTTCTGTCGCGTATGCCCCGCTTACACGACCACCCTCTGCGATCATTCATCCTTAGTACGCTAAGCGTACTCTTGGATATATTTTTCATTTCAAGGGTTCAAATGGTAATTACCTGATTTGGAGTGTTACATATTTGCTAGCTCAAGGCTGTTTCAGGTCTATGTCACCCTCGGGTCTATTACATCCCCGAGTCTATTTCAACTCATGCGTCAGCCCAAGTCGTACCGAGTTTATTTCACCCCCAAGTCTATTTGACCATAGAGTGTATTTCAACTCATATGTTAGTACGAGGCTATACTAGGTCTATTTCACCTCGGGGTCTATTTCACCTCTATATACATATAGCAAACATGCACACAGGCATATAACACATACAACAGGAGTTACAAAGACTACAAGCACATAACATATCCTAGTGTCCTACAGTATAGTGAACAAACTCACATCAGTCTGCTGACAGTCAAACAAATGATCAGGCTGTTGAATCGGAAATCCCTGCTAAATCATAAGTAAAGTAACCCTAATTAGAAATTAGGTCAATAATCTAACCTGAGAGTCCCAACCCTAAATCCTGGCCTTAAGTGAGAAAGATACTTATTCCTTGCCTTATTGGACCTAGCCCATCAAGTTAGAAATGCTACTAGCCACGAAGCCTAATAGATAATCTATGTCAAATGGGCCCAAGCCCATACTACAAACAAAATGACATTTAGTGGCATAGATTTTTAATGACATATATTTGATGTGCCACTGTATCATGTTTTTAATGGCATATTCTATGTGCCATCATAAATATTAATGGATTTAATGGCACTTAAAATTTTATGACACTAATATTCATAAGTATTAATGACATAATGTTTTAATATTCCATTAAAAGTTCCGTTTTATTAAAAATTATTATATAATTTGATTATTTCACAAAAAGAAAATTACAATTTTACCCTTTTTTTGCTTTACACTTTACCCCTTCCATTCTTAAAACCCTTCCTATAATTCAAAAAATCAATACAATTGACTTTTCAGCCATCATGATCTCCCCATGTCCCTGCTCCATCGCCACCATCGTCCCTCCTGCTCCACCGTTGTCCTCTCATTCATCCATCGTCTTCATCGCATTCGTCTACCGTCGCTAGTCTTCACTTAATTTGGTAACATAGATAATAATTAAGCTCTTCCAGCTCTTATACACTGAGTTGAGTTTTTATCTTCTGCTCCTAGATTCAAATTCTTCCAACATATGCACATAGCACTCGAATCTGCGATACATTGATTCAGTAATTTCTGCCAACTTAAATTCACCATCACATGTAGTTATAGATTTAATATCATAGTTGTGAAAGGAAGTAGTTACGACCCTTAAGGATTTCAGTTCAATTCTCGCCGGAGGCAAACACAAGTACGTTTAAATCCGAAGAAATTGTGCCCTAAATCCTCCCAAATGTTTGCATACGTTATTTGCAATTGATTCTTTGTCACAATTTGTACCCTAAATTTGAAGACCTGTTTCATATCTATTGTGATTCAGGTAAGTTTATTTCATGTATTGAAACATCCCAAAAATATAGTCCAAAAATTTCGTTTTTAAATCATTAAAGAAAAACCCATAACTCATAAAACATCATAATACAATCACATGTCATGTATCTCAAACATCATAACCAGAAAATTGTATCAAATCATGTATCAAATATCAGAGTCTAAAATATCCTAGGCTGAAGAGTGTGGTGTGTGCCATGCGATCATCCCGAGCCCTTCCTTTTGCTAGCTGAATTATTAGAAACCAAACTGAAAACTATAAGCACGAAACTTAGTGAGCTCCCCCAAACTACCACATACTATACAATAACACATATTGGGCATTACCCACTACATTGGGCCCCACCTGGCATCGGACCGAAGTCCGGAATACATATCATAGCAACAAGCACATATCACATAAGTATATAACATATATACATAATAAAGTTCCTCGGGCTTGCCCCAACATCGGGCTTGCCTCAGAATACATAACACATAACATGCACGAATCACAAAGACATCAAGTATACATATACCCTTCTCGAGACCGCCCCCACATCAGACCGAAGTACGGAAACATGTAATCTGCATCGGGCTAACCCCAACATCGAATCGAAGTTTGGCATACTCTAAATACATAAACAGGACCATATTGGTGCGTTCAACCCGTTCCTACTGGAGGAAAAATCACTTCACACTGCTGAAGTGTCGCTAACAAAACCCTAGCTGCTGGATGACAAATTCCTGAATCTCTCAACATCAAAATAACACCCAATTAATAATTGGGTCCCCAACACATATGCATAAGTCCATGCTTGGGGTAAAAGACTA